ACCTATAGGCTGGGTGGAAATTACCTGGTTTTATTGGTCTGAATGATTTACAGTTGTGCAAATTGTCCCTTCGTTCTCACACTGTGGGGACAGCCCGATAAGCCCAAGCCCTTCCCCACCTCCAGACATTGTCCATTCTGCAGAACTGCAGCCTTCCTGCTGGCCTCCCACGTCAGCTAAGCTGCTCCAATATTCCCAATTAAGTCATTTCTAGGTGTTGTGATTGCTTGTTCCCAATTTTCTTATTTTTGTGTATCTCTTTCTGGTGAGAAATAATCACAAGGTGGCAAATGAGCAGGGTCCAGGGCACCTCTGCAGGGAAAACTGCTGCTACACGGAGCACTTGGGGCTTCTTTAGACCTGCCGGGAGATCCTAGGAATGGGTTTTATTTATATAGTATAAATAGTAATGGGCCTGACTTATCCCACATTTGTCTACACCAAAGCCTACAGCAGATACCCTGCGCTGAGATACTATTTCTGCCATCCTGAACTGAGGGTGTAAGGTCCAGCTTCAACTAATATTTACCCTTCTTTTCCCCCTAACTTTAAGGACAAAACTGGACTGGATTTTGTGCATTGAAATCTGGCATGTCGCTTTGTTGAACACATGCCAGGTTGAGACCTAAGGGTTGATGTGAACACTCAGCCCATGCTGGAGATGGTTCTCCCAGATCTCTGCTCAGAGAAGAACGGTTCTGTCTCTCCTGTGCTCTGCCCCTTTCTTTTCCTGGCCCTTCCTTGCCTTGTTTTGCCTTTCCAAACTGGGGAATTTCACTGGTCTCAAGGGAGAGGAACCTCTGCACCCTCTCTAGGTAGAGCCCAAACCTGATGGCAGAAACAATAGGCAGATTCAGTCAGACACACGAAAGAGCAGACACAGAAATTAATTGGGACAGCTAACGAATCAAGACAGAAGGAAGGCACGAGAGGACTGTGTCGAGCAGGACACGGCTCCCCACACGCAGACACCGGCAGCAAAGACCTCGCGCCTGGCGCGCACCGCGCGTGCGTTAGGGACGCTCGTGGCGAATGCTGCCGCTGCAGCGATTTTCCACCGGGGAGAGGAGCACCGGCGTCTTCCCTTCCATCAGCCATCCCCACCATGTGGTTGGAGCAGACTGGCTCTCCGCATGCCAAGTAAATGTCTACCCAAACAAATTGCTGTCTACGAACAGTCTCAAGGAGCCCGTGACTGCTGACGACCAGAGACAGCACCGCACTCCTCCTCCTTGCGATCCTCTCTTTGCCTTCCTCTTCCCTGGGGTAGATCCAAGCTTCCCACCCCATGGACCGTCTCTCCTCCACCTGCCCTCTTGCCTCTGGTCCCACATGTAGCCCTGAGGATGCACAAGGCAGAGGGCCCGGACGCACAAGCCAAGGCCCCGGCCATGGCACTGCGGGACACAGGGCAGCGGTGTCGCTGCTCCTGCACATCGGGGCTGCCGGGCAGGGCGCCCGCACTGCACGGGGACCTGCGCACACCGTTATCAAGGGAGCAAACACTGCAGGGAGCCACAGCGCCTGCGACAACGACATTCCCAAAAGCATCCCCAGCAGCTCCAGAACAGCCGGGCAGTCCCATGCAAACCTCCCAGGACCAGGACCTCCCATTTTTAAGACCCTTGTGGTATTTCTGGACATTCCAGCTAGTGCTTTGTGAGTGAAAAAGATATAATAGCACCGTGGTGGAGACCCCACCGGTGGAATAACCAGCTCTCTTCTGAGCAGGAAACGGCAGTCGTGAGCCACGCGCCCGGGCCCTGGCTGCTCTTTTCTTCTGTTTCCCTCTCTTGACTCACCCCTCTATTCAGGCTCTCTCCATGCTAGAAATTGCCTCCCACGGCCAGTTTCTCCAGTTAACTTTTCCTTCCTTCCAAGACTTGCTGGGAGCTCTCCTGGAAACCTTCCCATTGCTTGTCCTGGTGGCTCCCACTGCCCTGGGCTGTGCCATCCGTGCTTAGTCCCTCTGCTCTGCCGGGGGCTGTGCAGGTCAGTGAGGGGTGTCCGCTCATCCCAAAGCATAACCCAATGGAGTGACTCCGTGTCATGGCCACGGGTCAGCACCATTTGGCAGTGATGAATACCGAATCGGCACCACGCAAGGGAAGATACCCAAGCCCTGGGATGTGCAAGCTCTTCACACAGCCCCAGACATGTGAAGGGAGGTTAAAGAAGACCTTTGGCCATGCCAGTTTTCTAGAAGCGGCTGGGAATTCTGTACGTCAAAGCTGCTGTGGTGGAGAAGACCTTCCCTTCCTCCTTTACCAAAAGCTGCTCTTCAACTGCAAGGAGGAAAACTCAGTACCTGCTCTCAGCTGAGCGCTGTGGGCACAGCAGGGAGCGGAGCCCCAGTGCTGGCTGGGACAAAGGTGGGAACACAACCTCCTGCTTCGCTCCACGAGCGTGAGGTTCCTTCGGCTCCCTTCCCAGCGCCGTCCACAGGGCAGGAGGGCAGCAGCGCTCGACTCTGCGACCCTCCGGACAGCTCGCTGCACCAGGCCTCCCATCACGGCCTATTTATAGCGATCCCGCAGGAAACCTCATGCTCTCCCGCTGCATCTCTCGTGCCTGCCAGTCCTTGACGCCACATCCAGCTGGTCCGTGTGGCGCTGTGTGGGCACAGTGCCCCGTACTGGGCCCAGCCTGCCTCCCATCACTCAGCCATGGGAGCAAGAGACCACCAAGCCCCCATCACACAGGGGACCTGGGACCTCCTGCCCCCAGAAGCACCAGTGCCTGCCTGGGCCTGGCATGAACCAGGCAGTAAAGCTGGGAATTTAGGGAGTGATGCCCCGAGGTCGGGCATGTGGAAAGGACCCGTGTGGTTTGCACCGAGTGCGCCACCGCATCCCCGCGCCGACACTGCGGGCACCAGCAGGTCTCAGCGCCCCGCGGCGCCGGCCCTGCCGCCAGCACCGCCTCGCACAAGCCCTGACGCATCAAATTCCTCTTCCAGGTTCCCACAGGCTCCGGCTCCCGCTTCCTCTGGCCTCCCGGCAGCCCCATCCCGTGGGCAGCACAGGCCGCCTGGGGATGCTGCAGGATGCGTAGTGGACAGGCAGCAATGGGACAGCATGCAGCGCACGTGTGACACTGGGACATGCCCACAGCACACGTGTGACACTGCGGGACGGTCACATGGCACACGTGTGACCCTGCAGGATAGGCACATGACACACGTGACACTGCAGGACAGACATGCAGTTTATATGTTGCCTTGGGACATACACACAGTATGCATGTGGCAGCGCTGGACAGACATGCAGCACGCGTGTCACCTGGGGATGGACACGCAGCTACCCGTATGGCAGCGCAGGACAGACACACGGCACATGTGACAGCACTCGAGGGACACACAGCACGTATGTCACCATGGGATGGGCACACAGCACTCAGATGTCACCGTAGGACGGACACACAACAAAGGTGTCACTGTGGGACAGACACATAGCATGGCACCATGCACAGACATGCAGCACACATCGCACTGTGCAAAGACATGCAGTCTACATGTTGCCACAAACACGCAACACGCGACACGCAGCAGCACAGGACCAGCACAGCACACACGTCACTGCAGGAGGGGCACGGGAATGCAGCACACATGGTCACAGGATGGGCACAGAGCCCACGGGATGGGCACACAGCAACCGCGGTGCCACGGGAAAGGCACGCAGCACGGGTGTTGTTGCATGGGACAGACAGGCAGCACACATGTCCCTGGGAGGTGGCACATAGCACATGTACAGGTTGGGCACACGGCACATACATTGCCCCGGGATGGGCACACAGCATGGGCGTCACTGCGGGGTGGCACAGAGTACATGCGCGGGATGGACATGCATCACGCGTGTTGCACCGGGCACACAGCAGGCGCGTTGCGGCGGGACGGGCACGCAGCACACGTCGCCCGGGGCGGTCACGCAGCCCGGGTGTCGCCGCAGGACAGAGGCGCTGCATGCGCGGTGGCTGCAGGACGGACATGTCACACACGTGCTTGTCCC